GTACAGTGGGTACGGAAAGTATTCAGACCCCCTTAATACACCACTGTAAGTCTGTCTGGAGCTCTGTTCCAAAACCTAGTGCTGAGTTAACAGTGCAATACTCTAATAAGCGTAAACATTCCTGTAGCACACACTAATAAAATAAAATCATTAGAATTGATTATTTATTCATTTTTTTTGTAAACTATTTTATATTTTAGGGAACACATTGCAGTGCATTACGGGATTGTCTTTACTACAAATGATACAAGCTGCATAAGGTGTATATGTAGTAGTTAGATTTGACTGGATTCTTATTTCCATTTCATAGTATTCTGGTGTTGAATTGGTGAATGGTCTTTGGCTCCTGATATATTGCTGGCTGTACAGTTACAATGCCCCAATCAATAATAACCCCCTTCTCCTCTTTTGCCTCCTCTTGTTGTACCTGCATTGATTTAATACACTACAATTCACACTGTTCATGAACAGGATCAAGGACGGTGCAGCTGAGATAATTTTCCATTGGCAATTAAATGCTACTTGCGTTATATATTGTAAATAATTTCTGTAATCATTATTAAGTGGCATTTATTTTGCTAAACAATATAACCTTTTTTCACATTATTTATTTTTCAACACAACTGTGAAAATTTTCCATTGGTAATGCTGCCTGCATCATATATTGTAAATAATTTATATAATTATTATCAAGTGGCATTTTTTTTTGTAAATAATGAAACCTGAATGTGTTAAATAAGATTTTTTTCACATTCATTTTCTTTGCCTATTCTTTTTTGTTCTGTTTAAAAGGTTAAAAAAAATAATACTAATCCCTACAATTTCATTCCACTAGACTGGATGCCTTTGATACTTTTTGTTGTATTACTGCTATAAGTACAACCACAGATCAGAGAATAACACTCCAGCAATAAAAGGGAATACAGGCTTACCTCTGAGGAATAAATCAAGAATGCTTCTCTAAACCTCAGTTTGAAGACCTCAAAATAAATAACAAGAAACACCAGAGATTTGAAGCTGATGAAATGTGTCATATGGCATGCTATCCTCCTTCAGTACCCCTTTTTTCTTTCTTTGTTCCTCCATCAATCCATCTGCAATCCATCTTTCTTTTTGCATTTTGTCTGATTATGCATGCACTTTCCCATTTAATTCTTATTACCCTATTCCAGACCAGCAACGTTTGGCACAGATCTCTGGTCCTGCTGTCATGTGTCTTACCTAGGTACTATAAATCCTCCCTGTTCTCTCTACACAGCGTCTTTGTCTTTGTACCTTTGCCCTTTCTTATCGTCTTCCATCTATTCTGTCCTGCTGTGGTTGTTATCATCATCCTCTCTCTTCCTGAGACACACCTTCCTTCTTCAGAATGAGCCCCTGTGCCGTAATTACACTCATGTTTATACAAAGATCAGACAGACCGAGGCAAGCTGCTCTGGTAAGCTGTCTTAAGACGCAGCAAAGTACCAAGTGCATGGCTCTCTGTTGTTGTCACTCCTTTATGTTATTTACAAAGCTGCTGTCTTTATTATTTTTTCCCATTAGCTCTCCTTCTCCATGTGATCACTCTCTCGCTGTTGTTTGCACTCATGCAATCTATCACAGCACGCAGTTTCTCTCCCCTCCCCTAAATTCCATCATGTGGTTTGGTTATTTCTGGAAAGTTGCAGTATCTCCTACTTCTGTCATCACAGTATGCCATGTTTACCTCCCATAGCACGCTTTGCTTTCACTGTGCCTCCTTCATCGCTTCCTAAATATTAACGGAACAGTTCAGCCAAAAATTGACAGTCCTGTTGCCATTTGTTCATTCTAATGTCATTCCAAACCTGTATAATTTATGAATCACTGTAAATACAGTGCCAAGTTTTAAATTGCTACACACTTAAAATCCCTTCCTCTCACATCGGTCTTGAATCTTTCATTCGTGCAATTAAAAAATGTGCATATTCACAATTGCATGTCACCATAAGTTACAAGACACGTAAGAAGCTGTGACATTTGGCAGCATTGACCACGTCTGGATGAGCCATGTTTGAATATATATTTTTAATATAATCTATATAATGTGGCGAGTATCCCGGTTCCAAATCAGCGTCGCCCTGGAAACGCCGCTCCCACCCCGATCACAAACTACCGCCACCTGTGCGGGATGATTGGCGCAGCTGGAGCTCATTCCCGCAGGCCTTAAAGCCAGGAGAGAAGGCACACAGGGGGAAGGTGGAAGAGGAGCTCCAGGCGGAAACTAATGTCTGTTTTGTTTCTTCTCCTCCTGTGTAGAGACCAGCGACCCTCCGGACGAGTGATCAGCAGCCCTCCACGAGCACCGAGTGACGCACTACCCCCCCGAGCACCGTGTGACCCCGCTGCCCAGACACCTCACCTGCGCACGACGAGCACCACGTGTGAATAAAGCACCCTCCTGGGGGACTTCCCGCAGTTCTGTGTCTGTGGTTTCATTCACCCCGCTACATATGGTGGAGAATGCGGGTATAGAGGTGGATTGAGACATAGATCACTAACGCCAGGTTGTCTTGTGTGATCACTCTAGGAGTACCGCTCTCTCTCCCGACGAAACACATTGGCATCTCCAGATATGTCATGCCAGATCAATATGCTGCCAGTGTCACCGGTATGGTACATGGAAATGAATAAAACAATAATGATTTTCTAGTAAAGATTAAATTATTTGTAGCTTAGCAGTAGCACAAAATTGGAAATCAAAAATTAAAGCATGAGACAGAGCTAAAACAGTAAATGAATTATCATTAAGTTATGTATTTATGTATTGTCATTGTCATCTATCTGTAATTTCTGCTAGTCTCTTGGTGCTGAATTGATAGATATTCTGAATATAAGGGCCAAGGGTTTCTGTGATTGTAGTAGTTTATCAGCATATATTTGAATTTCCCCCTACATGATATGTGCACTGTGTTCTAATCAGTCGACTTACAGCATCATTCACATGGGCAATGTCAGCTCAAAGTCATCATGTAGTACTGTGAAGATCCTGTCCAAACAATGTGATTCACAAACACACCTGTATCTCAGGTACAGGTATGTCACTGTATTCCTTTCATGGGCTCACACAGCTCTGAGCTTGTGTGACTTTGTTTTCCTCTCTTCCTCCAAATGTTCAAAGCTGCTTTGTCCTTGAGCATCCATAGATTGAAATGCATTTACTGTATTTATCTCAGGAAGACGAATCTCATGCCATAAAGCTGTTCTGCTAATGAGAACATTCTCTTTAGAAAAATAGCAGCAGCTGGGTAATATGATATGTTAGGTGAAACTGTTGAAGTACACAGACCACTAAAGATACTCCCACATGCCTTCATTTGTGGTTATAGAGTTCCCTTGTGTCTTCTTAAGTCTTTTGAATACATGAGCCAATACTTGATGCTCTCCATAGGCTCAGATTAATGCAGCAGAACCGTGTTAGACCGCAGTTATACACACCTACAGTATACTAACAAATTAACATAAATGATCGAAATCCAAATTTTTATGTTATTATCAAATGTAATAGCATTTGTTGCTAAAATGCAGATACAGTATAGATGTACAGTACAGTATAAATACGCAATGTAAAATGCTTTTCTTTTAGTGACTCTTTCTTAATATTGCCTCATTAAGCCAGTAGATGGCGAAAAGTAACTGTCTTTATGAATGAGTCGTTGATTTTTATTTTGTAGATTTGTTCAAACATTCAGGAACTAAATGAGTGATTGTCTTTATGAGTGAACTGCTGATTTTTTCATTCAGTCAATTTGTTCAAACACACTGATTCACTCAGGAGCTAAACAAGTTCATGAGTCTTTTATGAGTGAGTTGTTGACGCTTACATCCAATCCAGTTATCCAATCGCACTGATTAATTTAGGAAAGAAGCTAATCTTTATTAGTGAGTCAATGAATCATTTACTCAACTGATTAATTCATACACACTAAATCATTTAAGAATGAAACACTACCAGTTAATTCAGCTTTGACTTTGTTTTGAAATTATATAATTATATATAAGTAACTGGCAATATTGTGTCTAAAATGTAAGTTACTCAATATTATATTCTTGTGGATTGAACAGTTATATAAAAGTAATATCAATTGTGCCTTGAATATTAGTTTGTGCACTTTACATGCTCCTCATGCATATGGCCGAATCACAATCTGCTGATATTCACATACTCTCTTGCTTGTGTGATATTGCTTAATGGGGTCCTATTATGCTCTTTTACAAAGTCTTGATTTTGTTTTGGGGGTGTACTAGAACAAGCTCTCATAGGTTGTTCGAAAAACACATTAATTTTTCACATATTTTACATTATTACAACACCTCTCTCCCCAGTCTGGCATGAACGGCTCGAATAGTTCCTGTATCAAATGAAGGCCCGCCTTCTGAAATACGAAATGTGCAGTGATTGGTTAGTTGGGCCAGTGTGTGTTGTGATTGGCAGCACTCGGCGCCTGGTCGGGAAACGTCATGCCCCTTACCATTGTTTTGGGGGTGTACTAGAACTGGCTCTCATACTAGGTTGTTCGAAAAACACATGTTTTTCAGTGCAAGCTTCGGTGTAAAATATTGTGTCAAAATCAAATCAATTTGAGTGCGATTTAAACCCGGATGATTGTAATCACTCTAAGTTCATCTGCCTTGGGAAAGCTAGCGTGTCTCTGACATAGTGATAACACTGTTGCCTTCTCTAGTGCAGCTCAACCAGGTCTCGTCCCATTCGTCGATATTTGTGATATCATAAATCCCGGAAAATATGCGTTGTAGTCCAAAACGAGTCATTCGTTGTAGTTTTTGAAAAGTGATTTCTGTTAAATAAAATATCTTATTTTGAATTGGACTTTGAGCTTTGTAACTTTGCAGATCTTTTTTATGCTCAAACAGCAGCATTACAGAGTAACTAAAGTTGAAAAAGTGAAAAAGCATAATAGGATCCCTTTAAAATTCATCACAAAGTTGCTTGTTTTTCTCAGCTGCAGGTTATCAGGGCAATGGTGCATGGGGGCTTGTCTTCACACATAAAATATTTCAGGGCTGTGACTCATCGGCGTTCATTTCAGCCGTCCCCCAGCCTCTATTAGGAGCTATTTATGGATCCAATTATTTGTAGATGTGTTTAGTGGCCTTTCAAAGGCACATGGGAAAAAATATGCATCATCTGACAGTGTAGTCACAGGCTGATTCATTTTCTGTCTGGCATTTCTCCCAAACCTTGAGCTCAGCAGAAACAGCAGATGATATTTATCTTCAGATCATCAATAAATGCTCTGTTGTGTCATCAATGCTGGTGACCCATTGCTGCAGTGAACATATAAGACGGTCAAGATATCTGCAGATTTTTTTGCTTCAAACACCAGGTTTTCTACGGTTAGAGGAAATGTGTTAGATTTATTTTGTTTTAAATCATAGTTTGTCAAATCTGATACATTTGTCTACCTAAAACCCCACTGCAAGCCTCCAGCTTTCTCTACAATGGGTAAGTAAATCTTAAATCACTAATTAAATTGTAAGCCTGTTACAGTGCAGCAATTAACCTTGGTGTTATTGTTGCACTGTTAAAAAAAAAAAAGTTATGTTATCAGCTAACCTACAAAGGTGGTTTTAAAAGACTAAATTACTCTCAAGGTAACGACTACCTGTTTTCACTTTCTACAGTGTATTCTGCTGAAAAGAAATCTGGTGCACTGGCTCTGGATATCAGCAAACATCACATGTGAGTTGAAACACTAATTTACCTTTCTCATTGATGTGTGAAGATTGTTTGTGAGGTGATATTCACGTGTGAGTCACTTTTGCATTAAAAGTCACCGTTGTTTACTGACTCATATGCTTCTTCACTTAGTTTGAACTTACTGTTTTATTTATATTTACTGTGTATATATATATATATATATATATATATA